TTTTTAACTACCATCCCATGAATTCATAGGGAAGAGGCTCCAGTAGCTCAGGGAGGCACCTTGCCATTGAATGTGACAAAACATTGATTGAGTTTTGAATTCATGGGAAATAGGTTCCAGCACCATGCTTGTATCACTGTTACATGGAGTCTAATTGGTTATCCTGTGTGCTATGCTGTACACTTAATATGTCATGAGCTCATGGAGAGTAAATAGGTTCTTGCACCTAAAAGCATGGGTCCACTGGTACTCCTGTGTGCTATGTTATATGCTTTATGCCATGAATTCATAGGGAATGGGTTCCAGGAGCTCAGGCTCCTTTCCATTGGTTTTCACAAAGTGTGCTTCTCTGGGTGGAGCAGGCTGGTGCTTCAGTTGAACCCAGGTACCTTTCTCTTTGGCTTCCTTCTTTTTCTGATCATTTTCCTTCACATGTTTCAGGAAGCTATCTCGGGTCTTAGAGTGCTTAATATGCTCAATACGAACATTAATCCTCTTGGCAAGAATCTTGCCCTTAACTTGTTTGTTTACAACAATGCCAACAGCATGCTGGGTAACATTGTAGACTCTTCCAGTTTTGCCATGGTAACATTTGTGTGGCATGCCTTTTTGAACAGTACCCATTCCCTTGATGTCTACAATATCACCTTTCTTGTAGATTCACATGTATGTGGCCAAAGGAACAACTCCATGTTTTCTAAAAGGCCCAGAGAACATGTATCGGAGCCTTTCCTCTTTCCCTTTGTGTTCGTCATTTTGGTGAATTACTGAAAGATGGCGTCTCCAGCCAAAAGGATGTCTTTCAGCTCTTGTCAGAAGGCTGCTGGCACCAGCTGAGCTGATCCTGAATCCTGACACTATTTCTAGATGCTACAGAAGGCATGTGAGTGTGGATTAAAAGGTGGATGGTAGGAGGCTGAAGAATATTAAGACCAAGGGTATAGCCAAAGAGACTTGGATAGGGTTGATATACCTCAAGACAAGTCAAGTAGGGGCTGAGTTTCAGAGGCACTGTTGTCTTTGTGGAATAGCGTCATTTATAGTAGACTTTTCCTATAGAAAAGGCAAATCTTGGAAGTTGTCCAACTTCTAGGTTTCTTCCTGGCCTTGCCACATATTCACTTCCTTATCAGATAATGCATTTTTTTTTTTAGTTACCTGCCTTGGCCCCCATTTCTTCCCCCACAAAGCTTCCTGGAGAAGTTCTCATTCTAACTGCATTAAACAACCTTCCTCTTCAAGTGGACTATTGGACCACAATGCCCTCTAGCTTCTGTAGCCCATCCTATGCCATGTTTTATGAGTCTCTGGCTGAGGGCTGGGTAGATGGAACAGACTACAAGTGGGAACTTGTTAGCAAGGACTGGTAGGACAAGAAGTCCAAGAGATCCCCTAATCCAGCCAAAATGGAATAACTGCTTTAATTCCAGGCCCATGGGTGAGTCTTGCTGATGCTACAGAGCCATCCAAAGAGCTGTTAAATCTTTGACTGTGTTATTAAGGTGACACAGATTAGACATTCAATATGTGAACTCAGTCCTGGGAGAAGGCATAATGCCCCAATGATAGGTTTTTCTTGCCCATAGGAGAGAGGTGACCACTGCCATCTTGGCCCTTCCTACCAGAACTTCTCATAACCAACGGGGATTGAAAGCCAAGGGATTCTCAACTGGCCCTTGAACTACTTCTCTCTGATATCTGAGTAATTGGAAGGACTGTGATGAAAGATGATAGCCCCATTGAAATGAATCTCTTCTGGGAGAGGAAGTTTTAGTCAGAGCAAATCTTTGATTATGGAATTAAAGGATGAGTCCAGGCACAAAAACTCATATTTGTTCAATTTATTTCCTAATAGTATATTCCTAACACTGGTAAATAAAGTTATTTGAACCATTGATAGCCTGGCATCCTAAGTTAGGACTTGGTACCACTTTGCCCTGTGGCTTCATCTGGCCATTGCTCCATTTTCCATGCCTAAGGTCCCCATCCCTATCTCATCTCTTTGCTGACTTGAAAACATCCTATGGTTGTGTCTCTCCTACTCCTTAACTAGTAGTTTTCTGTGTACCAGTTGTGTTGAGAATGTTAATCTTAACATTCTGACCTGGGAAGACACTAAAGTGACAGTATGAAATGTCACTAAGGAGACATGTAGGTCATTATGGGAACATCACAAGCAGTTTAAATAGAATTTGGAGAGGTTGGGTGGTAGTATTTGGTATTCTGAAGTACTGGTGCCATAAATCTATGAAAGAAACAATGACATTTGATATGTGTAGGAGGATGCTACTTAAGGAGAAAAGAACTTGGAATTGTAGTATTTGGAAGGGGCATAAGTCTAGATTTTTAGGAAAAAGGGGTCTTATTGTCTGGGGATATAAGGATTGTCTTAAAGTAGAGGCAATTGTTGGCCTCAAGTTTTCTTACCTCCTGGGTTCCTGCTGTCTTGTTTTGTTGATTCTTTGAGGCCTTCAGAAGGTATTATCCAGTATTTTGGCAGGTTTTTGTAAGGAAGGTTGATCTTAATAGTTAGGATTTTTCTAGGCATAGTCCCAGGAACTTGCTGAAAATGAAGATTCTCAGGTCTCACCTCAGGCATATTGGATCATACTTCTCTGGTGGAATCACAGGGTAGAAAACCCAGAGCCTACCTACAGTTTCTTTATCCCAGCATGGGCCCTAAGACTCCATCTCAGAATACATACTAATGCTATTTAAGTAGAATACTAGTGTTTGGCCTTGGGATTACTTAGACCAGTGGTTTTCAACCTTTCTAATGACGCGGCCCTTTAATACAGTTCCTGTGGGTCGCAACCCACAGGTTGAGAACCGCTGACTTAGACATTGCTCCTGAATGAGTAGGTAACTCATTCCTGGAACAATCTGGGCCTAGAATTGAGGCATAGAAGTAGGAGAAGCCAGCCTGAAATCAGGCCTGTCCCCAGCCATGTCTGGACCTGAGGGCAAGGGAGAGTATCCTTTGCTCCAGTGTATGGTCTCTTTCTCTGTAGGTTCCAGCCAGCCTGCTAAGGCCAACATAAATACCTGAAGTATGAGCCACCAGTCAGAAACCTGCCCTGTGCCCTCTGACCAGAAACCGGGCCAGGTCCTCAAAGACCAGAGCACCTATGACCAGTTACTAAAGATGGTGCTGCATTTACAGTGGCTGGTAAAGAAGCACTTCATTCAGCTGGAAGTGACCAGACGCAGGCAACAACTGGAAGGAGAGAAGCATGCTGAGTCTATCTGTGAGCAGGGAAACTACCTAAACCTCTTAATGAGCAAGATGGTCAACGTCCTACGCTCTGGGGCCACAAGTGGCCTAGAGTGCCAAGAGTATCTCCCTTGCCTGGACTCTAGGGATGATGTCAGAAGTGAGCAGAGGGCCGAACTATCCAGGCAGCCTGACCCATTAGTTCCCCAGCTAAGTGATTTTGAACCTGCCTTTGTCAGCCATGACCTGTCTAACCGTGGGGCTGATATCTCTGTCTTATACCACTCAAGCTTCCAGGACTACATTGCCTACCAAGGAGACAAGTTCCATGAGGAGAACAACCCCTTGGTAAGAATAGGTGGGACATCCTCAAAGGCTACAATGACTTGGATTTATTGAGTAAAGCCCCCGAGATGGGTAGTGTTGACCCCTTGTACGTAAGGGTATAATAGAAAAAGGTGGCATGGCCCAGAAAGTTGGAGAACTCCTCCTACCCTTGATCTTTTCCTAAATCCCAGCTCTTAACCATAAGGAGTTAGTCATTGTAGTCTCGTGGTGAGTAAGCCTGCCCTGATGGAACCCAGTGTAACCACAAATGTAGTCAGCCACTGGAACAAACAATCTTTCCAAGAGCATGAAAGAGGTGCCCATTTCACATGGTCTGAGAAGAGGTCTTTAAAGGCTACCTCAGCCAGTAATGTTATATTCCTCCAGTAAGGAGGAACAGCACACATGAAAGCTTTGAGGTGGGAAGGGTTGGGAATGATTGGAGAAAGAGGCCCATGTGGGGAGAGGTGCATACTGAGGAGGATGAGAAGTGTTAGGATGTTACCCTAAGGGTGGTAGGGAATTGACCAAAGGCTTCTAGCAAAGGAGGTTTGGAGCTACTTTCTAGCTAGAGGACAGAGGACAACATTAACCATACCTTCCCTTTCTGTTCTTATATAAAAGATGTGTGCCAATGGCCATCAGTTTTTCTGGGGGCTGAGTTGGGCATCTCCACTGGCCTCTGAGGGACTATATCTCTTCTGGTAACTTGGAAGGCCTTATGTGCAAGGGGGGGTAGTAGGGATGGGTACCAGTGAGGCTAGTGGTTACTAAGTATTCTTGCTTTGGGTCAGGTAGGTTAGAGTTCTGCCCATCACCCAAGGTCCCAAGGCTTGCAGATTATTCAACTTTTTTGAATTTCACTTCTAAGTCAGGGATTGTATAGAACCTTTTGTCAGAGGTAAGGCAACTCTCACAAAACACTGAGTCTAGTGTCTGGCACATAATTCAATGATTGGAAAATGGAATATAACTATTATGTATCTACATGGCTCTCTAAAGGGTGGAATTTGTAAGATGTATTTGTGGAAAATTCTTTAACACTTAAAGGTGTCAAACATAGATCAAATTGCTTCATAGGGTGGTGAAACCTCCATTTGAACTAATCCAAAATGGAGTACTTACTGGTATGTTTAAAGGGATCCATATAGGGTGGGGGAAGGGAACTGATCTCAAATTCCTTTATCTTCAGGGTTTCATTAATCTTGGCACTAGCGAGAACAAGCTCTGCATTGATCTGATGATTAAAAGGGTAAGCCATGTTCTGGGCTGTGCTGGGACACACCCCTTCCAGGTCTAGTCCCCCTAGAATATTCCTCAGGAGTTTGAAAAAGGGTGTAGAGAAATAGCTTCTAGAATGGCACATCTAACCTCCTGGCTTTGCTGACTGTGGCCAGGGTGTTCTCTGGTGAGGTATATGGTAGATAGGCTACCAAGGGTTGGGGAGGTTGTTGAACATTTCCTGGCAAGGTATTTATTTGTATAATCTGTGACAAGAGGATGATGGCCTCCATTCATTAAAAAGCATGCAGTGTGTATACCCCCATTCTCCTTCTGGAAGACTAAGCCTGTGGAGGACAAACATTCATGTACAATATAGGAGTAGGATGAGGCCTCTTGGTTGTCCCTGGTCTGCCCACCTTCACTCTCTATCTGTCAACAGTTGAGTGAGAATGACATGAACCACATTGAGGACTTCCTGCTGCAGTACCCTGATTGGAGAGGACAGCCATTGTAAGTGACCGTCCAGATCTAGGGTCTCCTGGTCCATAGGCATCTGACCTTATCCAGAGGGAGGACCCAAGCCACAAAATTGTTTGGCTGACTCCCCAAATGGGTAATAACTTCTAGAAAATGTCTCTAGCAAAATGTTAGGAGGCAGCCTGGAACAGTAGGAACAGTACTGTTTTATAATTCAAAAGGCCTTAGTTCTTGTCCCAACTCTCACTTATTGTCTGTATGACCTTGGGAGTTATAGCCTTAGTCAGTAGTTCTATAACATGAAGTTGGACTGGGTAGCAAAGACCCCTTGTAGTGTGGACAACTCTGCCCTTTGAAAAGGGCAGAGTTGTCCACACTTAAGTTGTCTAGACTTAAGTCTAGACCATGAATGAAGGAGGTCTGGGAACCACTTAAGTCTTAAGTGTCCACACTTAAGTTGTCTAGACTTAAGTCTAGACCATGAATGAAGGAGGTCTGGGAACCACAATGTCTCTGAGTCTGTTCACAGCCTGCGGGAAGAAGTGGCCCAGTTCCTGACCTACTACTGCAGGGCACCTGCCCAACTTGATCCAGAAAATGTGAGTCAATTTCCCAGTTTTGCTGCCACTTTGGAGGGCTATGAGCCCTCCAAAAGCATGTAGATGAACATTCTGTGGTTTCTAAGGGGTATAGGGAGAACCAATGGAGACACTCAGGGCCAGGGCAGAGAAAAGACCAATGGGTCCCAGCTGACTAGGCTCTAGGTGCCTACCATTCCTGGGGAAGGGAGACAGAGTGGCTGCACCTTCTTACATGGGTATTGCTTTGAACTCTGTATCCTGTGTATTGTCATCAGGTGGTGGTTCTAAATGGCTGCTGCTCTGTCTTCTCTGCGCTGGCCATGGTTCTGTGTGATCCTGGGGGTAAGTCCATAGTCTCTGCTTTACTTCAGTGAAATATTGGCACATAGACAGGAACACACAGGCACTGAACTTTGGAGAAGAACCATTCTGACTCAAGGTCTTTCCCCCAAAGTGCTGGAAATTCTACACTGACATCTCTCCCCACATTGGCTGGCATCTCCCCCTCTCCTCTCCATTCTCCACCTACACTCACTGGCTCCAGCCCCTTTCCCTTCCAGTGAGAGTGAGGGATTTGGACTCCCCATTTGTTATGGAATAGAAAAGTATGATGGTCCTCAAGAAGTTATACCCCAGGAGCGATGACCATGGAAGCCAATCTGTTAACAGCTAGGCTTCAGGGCTCAACTATAATATAGAGAGCCCTGACAACTGGCACAGATGATCTGCTAAAAAAGGGCTAAAAGGTTCTCCAAAAGGCTAATTAGTTCTGAACCAAACAAAGCTGAAAAGACTGTTTTTAATCTCCTTCTCTTAACAGTGCCCAAGCAAGAGGTACCGTTTGCATGGAGAGAAGTGGCCAAGATGGCCTCTTTTACTTCAAGGATTGATTTCTTGGTTAGCCCATAGATGATGCCAAATTGGTGGGAGGTCAAGAACACATGAGATCATCATGTCCACATAACCAGAACTCTCCTTGTACGTGTATCCTGACTCTAGGACTCTAGGACTTGGCCTAGAACACACAAGACTTTCCTAATGACCAGTGCTAGTGAGCCTAGCTTGATTTGTGTCTTGGATTCTAAGCAATATTCCTTTCTTCTTCTCTGGCATATGATCTGAACTAAAGACCTAGTTTTGTTCTCCAAATAATATCTATAAGAATAGACAACTTTTATAGAGCCTGAGCCCAAGAACGTTAATCCCTAAGGATTGCCAAACCAACTTTCTTTGTGGGCAGCTTTGCTGTTAGTCTGAGCGGGGAGGGCTGGCAGGTTCTGATTGAGACCCTGGACTAAAACCACTGTGTCCCTGTCCTTCCAGAGGGCTTTCTGGTCCCCACTCCCGTCTATGGTGGCTTTGCCTTTAGCTCCCGCCTGTATGCACACGTTGAACTGATTCCTGTTCACCTGGAAAGTGAGGTGAGAAAGGGGCCCCTTACCTTCTCAGTTATTCTGGGTAATAGAATATTCTAGGGGCATGTGGAAGGAAAAAGGGGACTTGCTTTCTGCCCATATATAAAATGGCGGGGTAAAGGCAAAATCAGGGTTAGAAAGTATATGGAGGCCAGGAGTGGTGGCTCACATCTGCAATCCTAGCACTCTGGGATGCCAAGGTAGGAAGATCACTTGAGCTTGTGCGTTCAAGACCAGCCTGAGAAAGAGTAAGATCCATCCCAATCTCTACTCAAAATAGAAAAATTAACTAGGTGTAGTGGCTGGCACCTGTAGTCCCAGCTACTCATGAGGCTGAGGCAAGAGGATTGCTTGAACCTAGCAGTTTGAGGTTGCTATGAGCTAGGATGATGGCAAAGCACTGTAACCTGGGCAACAAAGTGAGACTCTATCTCAAAGAAAAAAAGTGTATAGTACTGACACCCTGGTACGAAATCAAAGAACTGTCTAGGGTTTAAGGGAATAAGAAATCAAAGCTTGGTCCAGGCATGGTGCCTCATACCTATAATCCTAGCACTCTGGGAGGCCAGTGTGGATCCTGGGTGGAGAGCTTGAGCTCATGAGTTTGAGACCAGCCTGAGTAACAGCAAGACCCCATCTCTACTAAAAATAGAAAAACTGAGACAAGAGAATCGCTTGAGCCCAAGTTGCAAGTTGCTGTGACCTATGATGCCACGGTACTCTAGCCAGGGCAACAGCTTGAGACTCTGTCTTTAAAAAAAAAGAAATCAAAGCTTAAAAGCTTTCCAGGTGGGCTGTTCTCAGGTACTATTTCTCTTCCAGATCACTGAGGCAAACACCTGTCCTTTCCAGCTTACTGTGGACAAATTGGAGCAAGTCCTGCTGGAAGCTAAGAGTAAGGTAAGGAGGGAACCCTATTTTCAGGGTGGTCACTACTAGACCTAAAAGGGGTTGGGTACTGAGACTCTGTTACAACTTGGTCACCAGGACCTGGTGGGCTTTCTTTAGTCAGAAGAGACAGGCAGGGACATGTCTTTCTAGGAGCCTGAGGCCCTATTGGGACATTATGGCAACTCCAGACTTATTTCTTGCCCCCCACTGTGGGCAGTGCGATAGTTGCTGCCTCAAGATCCTATTTAGGCCTTATTGAGTATCAAATATTGGGTATCCTGACTCATAAAATACAGGCAGCTTCTGAATTGCAAACATCCAACTTACATACAACTTGCGCTTATGAAAGGAGGCCATTTTATAGTAAGTCCCCAATTTATAAACATCCAACTGATATGACTCATTTATAAATGGAGGCTATTACAGGTAATAGGTAAATGTACCCATTCCAACTTACATACAAATTCAAGAACAAATCTACAGAACTTATCTCATTTGTAACCCATGGATAGCTTATAGACATAAAGGATGTGTGTTCACTGAGTTACATTTGGGTTGTTCTTAGGGGAAAAAGGTCAAAGGCCTCATCCTTACCAATCCTCAGAACCCTCTGGGTGACATCTACTCCCGTGACTCACTGAAGGAATACCTAACATTTGCCAAGAGGTATGAATTCTACCCCCTGAGGCTAGATGATGTCCCCCCAAAAGCGTTCTCACCACTTATAGTCAAGAAGTCAGAACTATTATAGAAGAAATTTACTATAGGTATTCTTAGAGTTATACCTAACTAGCTGAAATTGAAAGGAAATGTACCCATGTGCTTACTGCTGCAATGAAAGGCCATTTCCTTTCTAGCCTTTGCCCATGAACAGACATTTATACAAGTCAAAATATGGTTTTGTTGTTTTTCTACTTACGGAACAAGCACTTTCTCTCAGCGTCTATTTCCCAAACTTGGGCTGAGGATAGACAGTCTCAGACTCTATCCTCTCTCAGAAGATGTGTTTCTGTAGAACTCTCATGTCCCATTCCTAAGAATGTCAATACCAGTTACCTCTGGAGTCCTGAAACAGCCTATTAGTTAAGCCAGATAACCTCCCATTTTTCAGAAGAAACAGACTTACCCAAATTTTATGACTAACTCAGACCAATTAATGGCAGAGCATGGGGACAGAAGGAAGAATGCTGAAGGTCATGAGCTAGAAGTAGACTGAATTAGGCTCAGATCCCAGCTTTAGCACCTGCTAACTGAAGGCAATTGAGCTTATATCTCAACTCCTTAGTTTCATCTGAAATAGAGATGACAATACTGTCTCAGAGAATAAATCAGGTGGTACATATAAGCACTCGGTCCACTTGGTGCCACTTCTTGATTCAGACTCTGGGTGGGAGCTTCCGACTGTACCAGACAAATCCTCTGGGACACCAGCCTCTTCTATTGCTCTGGGCTGGATGGTTGAAAGGTTAGATATGTTCTCAAGTATGGCTCTTGGGTCCTATTCCTTTTTAGTACCTTCAAGCCAGGTCTAGATGAACTGGTATACACATCCTATCTTACTGTGCCTCTTAGGCAGCAGGAGTATCTAATCTGTGTCCAGATCAGACCAGAAAAGAGTGAGTTAAGATTACAGAGTGATCCTAATCATGATCTCCTTTCACCTAACCTGTAGGTATAACCTGCATGTGATCATAGATGAGATTTATTTGCTGTCTGTGTTTGATGAATCTATCACATTCCACAGTGTTCTGAGCATAAAAAGGTGAGTTGATCTCAGCTGGAGTAGGGTAATGAGAAACCACGAAGTTTGTGGATGTAAATGTATCTGGCTAGGTGCTAGGATGAGTTCAGTGCCAACAGGGGCTGTGAGCATAGCATCATCTTTCCTCCCAAATGTCTCCTAGTCCAAATGCCATTTTATATACAAGATAACATGAGGGCAAGGTAGAAAGCATATTGTCAAAACTCAAGACAAATCCTTACAGAAGGTCGGGGTGGGAACTTCTAACTTCTATGATGAGTAGAAAGGAGGGGAAGAATAGCAACAAGAACTTTCCTGGGGCAGGAGGTATTTGGCCATGGAGATAGGAATGCAGCAACTAGAGCAAGTGAAGGAACAGTTTCACCAAAAGTGGGACAGTAAGAAATAGGCAAACATGTTCTTGAAATGCTGGTTAGAGCACATCTAAAGAGCCAACTGCCAAGATGGTGGCTTTGAGCCAGCTGTGGGAGAGCCACGAGTCAGGGTGAGGGTTCTAGACTTCATTCAGTGGGAGCTGTTCCATCTAGCTCTTCAGGGATGTATCATGTTGACTTTCTGGCTCAACAGGGATAACTTTCTGAACCATTGGGCCCTGTAGATCTTGCTGTCCAAGAAGATCCTTGAATCTACTTCTCCTTCATAGACCCCAAGTCTTCATCTTTCAAATATCCCTCTATAACCTTGGTTCTCTTCCCCTCATTTCTTCTCCAGTTTGCCTGATCCCAACAGGACCCACATGATCTGGGGCACCAGTAAGGTGAGCTCCAGCTGCCTGTCCTTGGGTGGGGAAGGAAGAGGGCACCAACAATAGAAGGCAGACAAACCAGATATTCCTTCCCCTACTTCTCTTTCTGTAGGATTTTGGCATCTCAGGCTTCCGCTTTGGTGTTCTATACACCCACAACAAGGATGTGGCCTCTGCTGTGGGCTCCTTTGGCTACCTCCACAGTATCTCTGGCATCGACCAGCACAAATTGTCTAAATTGCTCCATTCCAGAGGTACTGAGCTCCACCCCGGGTCAGCATCTTGACCAGACCTCATGGCCACAGGGAACTTCTATATTTTCCAGGACCTCTGGCATGCCATCAATATACTGGGACCCTATGTACTGTCTCAGGTTTAACCATGGCAGGGTGTGAACTTTGAAAGAGTGCAGGATATGGCTCAAATAGTAGAGTAGGGTGTCGATAGAAGATGGAGGTGCTACTCAAACACAAAATGGGCTTTAACTTCTGGATGCTGGGTGGCTTGTACTCTGCCAGGAAAGGAGATAGCCAGTCTTACCCCAAGGTGTAGGAGTAAGGACCTCAGAAATCAGCCTTTATGTGAATGTGCATGTCCCCTCCCCAGTGCCCTACTTGTTTTAGGCAAAAATTATAAAGAAACACCTTACTTTCTCTAATACACCTTAATCTCCTCCTCTAAGGTATCAAAAGGAGAGCTGCCATATTGGTGTGCTGGTCTGGCTAGACCTATGGTACACCATCTTCCCCCTTGGATCAAGTGAATGCTGCTTCTAGGGGCTTCTACCTTTAATGTCATGGTTTATGTTTAGAAGAGACCTCTTTAACTCCCTATAATAGAACAGAAACCAGGCTGACAGGTTTAAATTAATAATTTAGGATATAGCAAAAACAAACTAAAGTCATTAGATTAACTGGTTTAGAAAACAATTTGCTTTTAGCTCCAAGTAGGGAAGGCAGTAAATAGGAGAAATACAATAGAATGCTTCCTCCATGGTGCCAGCCCCTTCAATATTTGCCAGAAATCAGATCCTAGCTCCTGAATGCTGGTTCTCAACTTTGGATGTACATGGGCTCCTTAGAGATCTAAATACTGTCTCATGGGTTCCATAACCAAAGATTCTGACTTAGATAATCTAGAGGCAAAGCCTGGGCATCAGGGTTCCCAAAAGATCCCCAAGTGGCTCTAAATTTTGGTGTTAATACTAAGAACAATTGGGTTAAGCACATCACCTTTGGGTGTATCTAGGTTCCTCTGAGTCCGTTGTGTGAGGTTCAAAGGCAGGAGGTAAGAGGAGCTGCAAGTACTCAGTGTTTGCCCAGTTGACAACAGCAACATTGACCCCCTTTGGAAAGGATAGCCCAACCCTTTAGCAACTCAACAGAAGTGTTCCTACTGCACTACTGAGAAGGCCTGGTCTTGGCCATGAGAGTCTTGGATAAGAGGGGTATGTTGGGGGTAGATGCCATCAGCTCAAATATAATGTAGTCTTAGTCTTAGAAAGAGCTTATGTGAGGCACAGGTGGGGAATATTTGGGAAGGAGCCCTCTGGCAGATTGCTGCCATAAGATCTGTGACAGTTCTCTTTCTCCATTCACCCAGAGTGGATTGATAGCAGGTACCTGCCCACCAATCGCTCCCGGCTCCGGGATGCTCACAGGTACATCACTAAAAAGCTGAAGGAGTTGAAGATCCCCTTTCTCTATCGTGGTGCTGGCCTCTATATCTGGATCAACTTGAAAAAGGTGTGTGCTCTTGGAACGGGGCAGGTGTTCCTGGGAAGACCTGCCACATGGGTTTTGAGCTAGCTCTGTTCCTTTGGCCTCTCTAGTACTTGGACCCATGTACGTTTGAGGAAGAAGTGCTCCTCCTTCGCCGCTTCCGGGACAATAAACTGATTCTATCCTGTGGCAAAGCCTACATGTGTAAGGAGCCTGGCTGGTTCCGCCTTGTCTTTGCAGAAAATTCCTTCCGGCTAAGACTAGGTGAGTGGGGCTGACCTCCCAATCCTGGCATCCTTTAAAAATTCCCGTTCAACTCATCTATAACTCAGCATGTGAATCTATTTTTGCCCTTAGCAGCTCCATACCTTCTATACCATCTGTTTCCAATTTCATCTTTAATTAAGCTCCTTTGTAAACTGATATGTGCCTCAAGGACCCATCCACTCATTACATCTTCTGGGTATCTGTTCTCTGACTGCCACTGAGGGAGGCACTGGGACCCTAAGCTAATAAGAAATGGTACTCTGCCCTTGTGGAGCCCACAGTCTGGTAGGCGAGGTGTGTGTTTGGGTAGAAGACCATAGAAATCCCTGTATGTCATGTTATATAGAGTTTAGATTCTCTAAAGGTTATGTACAACGTAACATTCACTTTCCATCGCATTACGTTATAGACACTCTTTGACCTGCTGGTAATAGAGCAGTGAATCATTCTCATCAAGGTTTATGTTCCAGAAATACTTTTTGGAATAGTGTCTTAGAAGGCAAGGCCATAAGCCAGCGTAGGATTTGATATGAGACAGTGAGGTGTCTGGAAAGCTGATGACATGACAATGAAATTTAAAAAAGAACCATCAGGGATGTAGCAGACTTGGAAATCCATCCCAAAGATGGAAGGCTAAAGTTCAGGTTCCCTGAATGAGTGGTTGTGGTGGTTCACCACGATCTGGGCATGTCTGGTGTCCACTTGCTGCAAACCAACTAAGTCTGTATTTCTCTGTCCCTGTCTGGCCCCTGTAGCCATGCGTCGGTTCTGTCAGGTGCTACAGGAGCAGAAGCAGTCTTGGATAGAGAAGCAGCTGGAGGAGTCAGTGAAAGAGTAGGTTATCATCACTGCTCAGGAAGACACTGGTGTCTCGGTCTCTGGTCCAGAAGGCTGGGGGTTGATGGTGCTGCAGCTGAGCAAATAGTGGGCTCTTCCAGGAATGATCTCATCTGATCCAGGCATCAGCCTCATTCAACGGAGCATCTGCCATCTTTGGAAGCTTTGAGTCTTTTTAGTCTTTGCTAATAAATGTGCATGCAAAATGTTTTTATTGGGATTGGGGTGGGAAGGCAGGCACGTAGAGGGATAAAGGAAACTTGTAGGCCCATATTTAAATGGGCCAGCTTTTATATTCAGTATCTAATAAATCCCGTATTCTCTTAAATTCCAGGCTTGTTTTATTTCTTATTCACATTTTAATAATCACTTTCAGAAGTGATGGTTTTCTATCCTTATTTTTACATTCCAAGGCAAATTATATGTGAAATATATACAAAAGGAAAGAAGTGAGTCCCTAGCTGATGGAGCACATTGGATGCAACGTTCCCTAGGATCCTTACGATGTCACCTCCCCTTTCTTCATGGTCTAAGTGGCAGGGTGGAGGTATAATTATGGGTATTCCTGCTCTCAAATAGTAGAGTTCTTCCCACTTTTGTCTTTCCAAAAGGTTTTAAACTGTATCTGACAAGCTTTGGTGTCTCAGTCCAGTCAAGTTGCTATAACAAAATCCCACAGGCAGGGTGGCTGATAAACAACAAACTTATTTCCCACAGTTCTGGAGGCTGGAAAGTCCAAGATCAAGGACTCGGCAGATTTGGTGTGGTGAGGAGCTGTGACCTCACTAGTGAATGAGGTGAAAGGTCTTCCTCTGCCTTCATGACCAGATCACCTCCTACCACCACCGCCCTGGGGGTTAGAATTCCAACATGAATTTCAAGGACACATACATTCAGTCCATACCATCTGGGGTCTTCCATTTCCATCTCTAGTGTTCCCAGCCATTTAAATCGTATCTACTTATGAGTTTCTCTGCAAAGCCCTCGTGTGTCTGAACACTGCTGTGTGACATGGGCTGGGCTACCACCATTTTACAGAAGATGAAAGAGCTTCCAGTACCTACTGACTCTGGGTCTGAGTTTGGTTCTTATTCACCAGTGACGCTTTTTTAAAAAAAATTAACAAATTTGGGACTGGAAATGATGGCTCTCATGTCTGTAATCCTAGAACTCTGGGAGGCTGAGGTGGGAGGATTGTGTGAGCTCAGGAGTTCAATACCAGCCTGGGCAAAAGCAAGCCCCTTCTCTACTAAAAATAGAAAAATTACCCAGTGTCATGGTGGGTTCCCATATTCCCAGCTACTTGGGAGGCTGAGGCAACAGGATTGCTTGAGCCCAGGAGTTTGAGGTTGCTGTGAGCTAGGCTGAGGCCATGACACTCAGTACAGTGAGACTCTGTCTCAAAAAAATTCTGAGTTTTCAAGGTGGTGTGCATGTGTGTATACACCAGACAAAGTTCTTTAGGACCAGAAGAGAAGGTGAGGAAGAACAAAAGATGCTCTTCGGGCTGGGTGTGGTGGCTCACACCTGTAATCCTACCATTCTGGGAGGCCAATGTGGGTGGATTGCCTCTTGCTCAGATAAGAGTGAGTCCCCACCTCTAAAAATAGCTGGGAGTTGTGGCTGGTACCTGTAGTCCCAGCTTCTCAGGAGGCTGAGGCAAGAATATCACTTGAGCCAGAGAGTTTGAGTTTGCTGTGAGCTATGATGCCACAGCAATCTCACCAAGGGTGACAAAGTGAGACTCTTGTCTCACTCTCATCTCTCCAAAAGAGAGATGCTCTTGCTCTTGGGATCTAACAGTCTTTTGGCACTATCCCCAGGAAGGAAGGAATCCTGCCCTCTGTGCAAGGGATAGGCTATTTCTAATTTCTTCTGTTCCACTTAAGATTCAAATGGGTAGAAAGTCAAGCCAGGTATTTACACAGACTGAGTAAACCTGAAACATGACCCCGAAGGAGAAAGAGTTCATTCAAGAAGTCAATGTTTGTGTTATGTATGTGAGGTATTTTTTTTTTTCAAACCAGGAGAATATAACAAATCTATGCTTCTCAGCCTTATGGGTGGTATCTTGGGATTTATGTAAGAGGATGAGATGATCCTGTATTCTAATGTGGCTGTACTGATGCATGCTTTGTAAGCTGGACAAGGTATCAATGTATCTTTGAGACACATTTTCAGATACTGTGTCACACATCCTAGTTCTGACTCAAGCTGAGTTGGTGTGATCTAAGTAGAGGCAAAGCACCCTTGAAGGTGGCCACACATGTGCATGACACCAGCTTGTATTTATTTATTTATTTAGAGACATTTTCATTGTGTTGCCCTTGGTACAGTGCAGTGGAGTCAGCTCACAGCAACCTCAAACTCTTAGGCTCAAGAGATCCTCTTGCCTCAGCTTCCCGAGTAGTGGGACTACCAGCACCTGTTACAATACCTAGCTATTTTTAGAGACAGAGTCTTGCTCTTGCTTAGGCTGACCTCCAACTCCTGAGCTCAAATGATCCACCCACTTCGGCCTCCCAGAGTGCTAGGATTATAAGTGTGAGACACTGTGCCCAGCCCCCCAGCTCTTTTAAAAGAAAAATTGAAATATAATTTATATGTGATGCCTAGATCTTAAGTGTACCACTTACATTTCAAAATTTAAATTTTACTGATCCACTAATCAAGGTGTAGAGCATTTCCATCACTCCAGAAAATTCTTTCTTGCCCATTCCCAGCCAATCCCTGCCCCACCCGCCCCCAGAGTAGTTTGCAGGTTTTGGAACTCCGTGTAAATGGAATCATACAGGTAAGTCTTCTGTGTCCTGTTTCTTTCATTTAGCATAAACATTCATCTGTGTTGTCATATGTATTAAGAGTTGAGCCTCTGTACTGCTGAGGAGTATTCTAGTACATGAATATGTCACAACCTGTTTATCCATTTACCTGTTGGGACATTTGTGTTTCCAGTTTGGGGCCATTATGAATGAAAGTTATAAACATTTGCATGTAAGTATTTTTCTGGTCACATATTTCCATTTCCCTCAGGTACATATTTAGGAATGGAATTTTTGGATCATAGGTGTATTTAATTTCTAAATAGTTTTCTAAAGTGGTTGCGTCATTTTACAAATTCTTGTCAACATGTGCTGATGGCAATCTCTTTTCAATTTAAGTCCTTCTGGTAAGCACATAAATTTCATCCTACTCTTAATTTACAAATCAAGTCATCTCTGATGACAAATAAATAAATCTTATGTGTTTATTGGCCATTCATTTCTTTGTGTATGTGTGATATGTCTGATGCTTTTTGCTTATTTAAAAAATTGTTTTTTTGTCTCTTTTTTAAAATGTTTTTGATACAAGCCTTTTGTCAGATAGATGTACAAGTTCATAATGCAAATATTTTCTCCAAATCTATGACTTGGTTCCTTTTCTTGATAGCAGAAGTTTGAATTTTGAAGTTTAATTGATCAGTTTTTCTTTTGGTTGTGTACTTTGTATCTAGCCTAAGATTTTAGGTCACAAAGACTTTTCTTCTGGAAATGTAATAGTTGTAGTCTTTATATTTAGGTCTATGATCCAATTCCAACTTTGCATATGATGTGAGGTCAGTTTTTCCGCACATGATACCTAGTTGTTCTAGCATTTGATAAAGTATCTTTTCCTCATTGAATGACCTTGGCACCTTTAGTCAAAATCAATTGACAATGTATATGTAAGTCCATTTCTGGACTATCTCTTCTGTTCCATTGTCTGTAAGCCTATTTCCTTTTTCCCTCATGGCCTACAGGATAGTTCACGTAAGTCTATTCTGCTGCAACATCACAGTGGTTATTGTGGCTTTATAGTGAAGTTTTGTAATCAGATAAAGGAAGTCTTCTAACTTTATTTTACTCAAAATTGCTTCATTTTTCCTAGGATTTTTTTTTTTTTTTTTTGGTTTGCATATAAATTTTAGAACCAGCTTACCAACTTCTACAAAACTCTATGGGGATTTCATATGCATTGCACTGAACTAATAGATCAAGTTGGGAAAATTAACATTTTCCTATCCAATTTTAGTATATGCTGCCAAAGCTATTTTCCTATCCATAAGCATGGAATCTCTCTTGATTTATTTAGATCTTTAAATTCTCTACGTTTATGGTTTGCAATATATAGGTCTCACATGCATTTTTTAAAAATTATCACTAAGTGTATTAGGCTTGTCATGCTATGTTAAATATATTTATTTCGTTTTCTAATTGTTAGTATATATGCAGTGGTTAATCTTCTGTGTCAATTTGACTGAGCAAAGGGATGCCCAGATAGCTGGTAAAACATTATTTCTGAATGTGCTGATGAGGGTTTTCCTGGAAGAGATTAGCATTTGAATCAGTAGACTGAGTCATGATCTATCTTTTCCAATGTGGGTGGGTGTCATCCAGTCACCTTGAAAGGATTGTCTTGCTAGCAAAATAAGAGAAAAAATATAAATAACAGAAAAAATGTTATCTAATATATAGTTTCTTAGTAAGAGCTAAGATCAATCACATTAGTGTACCTACTCTTAAGGTGACCAGACGTCCTACTTTTGGCGGGACATTCCTGATTTTTAACAATTTGTCCCCAGTCCTGCGGTGTTTTAAAAAAGTCCTGATTTTTGGAAAGAATGCAGGACAATCTAGGGAAGGGCGGGACAACAGGAAGGGAATATGCAGTTTTCCGCTGCTGAAAAGGTTAATGTAACTCTATTTGGGAATGAAGAGGTTAACGTAGCCTCATTTGGAAATGAAAAGGCTAATGTAAACTCCCTACTCCCCTCCTGGGCAAGGTATCAGAAGGAGACTGGCTCCCTCCCTTGCTTCTAGGCAAGGATGATTAGCTCAGAAGGAGCCAAACTGTCCAGAACAAACAAGTAGCCCCCTTGCCCCCAGTAAGGTGACCAGACGGCCCAATTTTGGTGGGACAGTCTTGATTTTTAAGAATTTGTCCTGTGTCTTGCAGCGTTTTAAAAAAGCCTTGATTTTTGGAAAGAATGCATGACAAGCTAGGGAACACGGGAGAACAGGAAGGGAATATACGGTTTTTGCCATGTGGCTATTTCGTCAGGATATGTGTTTTATATTATTTTTGTTAATTTTATAATGTTAAACTTTAAGAATAACAAATAATTGTTGAGAACTGATTATTGAGAACTGCTTATCAAAGTTTGCATTGTTGTCAGGCTCTGCCCCCCAGGCCCTGCCCCCCCCAATGG